GGGCAAACCATCAACTGCTGTCGTCTGCAGCTGCACATACTTTTCTTTTGCTTCCCCCCCCCAGTTCAGCTAATGTGAGTGAAGGGAGGAAGCCCTAAGTATGTTCATATCCTAAAACTGGAGCTTACACAGGGCTGAGGACTGTCTCCCCACCCCCATGTTACATTATTGCGTTCCTGGGAGTACCACAAGCAGGAGTGCGAAGAAGACATGAGCATGTCCATCTAGAGAGAAATGGAAGAGTAATAGAACACGTTGCTCTGTCCTACATGGGAGCAGCACAGGATCACTTTAAGTGCTGGTCTGATTAGATGCTGTGGCATGCAGAAAGCCCCTCTAGGCGGAACCCCCCCTTCCAACTTGAAGAGCATAGGGAGTGTTCCAGAGCTTGATTGCCACATGCATCCTCTGCTGACCTGACATGCACTTCCACTCTACTGCTTACATTGGCCAATCTGTCCATTTCTCAGGAGGCACTATATAATGGAACATCCTCTGCACATTATCAGTAGAGACAACTAGAAAGATCGCAATCGCCACATGCATCCTCTGTTGACCTGACATGCACTTCCACTCTTCTGCTTACATTGACCAATCTGCTCATTACTCATGAGGAACTATATTAATGGACTTTATCAGCAGAGACAACTAGAACAGCTGAAACAAGAAGTTTCCAGTCTATCTGATGCCTCTGCAATACCATGGAAGCCTTGTGAGGTCCACAGATCCACAATTTGCATTGTTTGTTGGCACTAGATATGCAGTTCTGCTCTAAAGTTTCCATCCTCTGGAATGTTTGGCCTTGGTACAGACACACAAGGTGACACAAACAGGTTGAAATGGCAATTAAAGGTTTGTTTCACACATCTGGGGCTTAAATTGCAATTAGTGTCTGTGTATAAATAGTCAATGATTGTTAGCTCTCACGTGGATGCACTGAACAGGCTAGATACTGAGCCATGGGGAGCAGAAAAGAACCGTCAAAAGACCTGCGTGACAAAGTAATGGAAAAATATAAATATGGAAAAGGATATAAAAAGATATCCAAAACCCTGAATATGCGAGTCAGTACTGTTCAACCATTTAATAAGAAGATATTTGGGGATCTCTTGATACCAAGCCAAAGTCAGGTAGACCAAGAAAGTTTGCACAATACAATGATACTTGGAAAAAAATTGAGTTGCAATGTCGAGTTGCCAGAAAGAAGCGTTTACTGCACCAATGCCACAAAAAAAGGCCAGTGAGGCATGTCATGGTGTTGTCGGGCATACTGTAACTGGGCTTTTTTGCATTGCAGTGGCATTGGTGCACTAAAAACTTCTTTCTGGCAACTCAACCATGCAACTCATTTTTGTTCAAGTGCATAGCAGAGCCATACAAAGCAGCATGCTTACACAGTAAAGCACAGCACACAGTAAAACACACACAGCACACAGGTAACCCTTTGCTATACGGTGCTGTGTTACTTAAACTGACAATTGCGCGGACATGCAACACTGCACCCAAATGAAATTGATGTCCTTTTTTCTCACAAAAACAAAAAAACACTGACAATTTTGAAAAAAAAAAAAACATTTTAGATTTTTTGCTATAAAACATATCCAGTAAAAAAAATTAAAAAATCAAATTTCGTTATAAATTTAGACCAAAATGTATTCTGCGACATGACTTTGCTAAAAAAAAAAAATCCCAATACGTGTAAATTATTTGGTTTACGTGAAAGTTATAGCGTCTACAAATGGAGGTATATATACTGGAATTTGTATTTATTTTTTATACTAGTAATGGCAACAATCAGCGACTTATAGCGGGACTGCGGCTGGCATTCTGACACTGGGTGGGAACTGACTAACTGTCACTGACATCCCCAGTGACACCAATACAGTGATCAGTGCTAATAAAAAGCACTGACACTGCACTAATGACCCTGGGCAGGAAAGGGTTAATATCTGGGGTGATCAAAGAGTTAACTGTGTGCTGTGTGTGTTTTTACTATGTAAGCACGCTGCTTTGTATGGCTCTATGCAGAGCCATACAAAGCAGAATGCTGGAGCTGACAGGAGAGAGATCTGTGTTGTTTACATACAGACCTCTACCCTGTCAGCGGTCCTTGACAATTGGCGGGGAATCTCCAGCCCAGACACGGTGACCGACAGCTGTAGCCACCAATGACGGCACAGGTAGGGAGGTGCAGGTAGGGCGGTGTGCGTGTCACCTACCCAGGCATTCAAAATCACGTATATATACATAATTTTGCGCAGCTCTGCCGCTCTGTAGCAGTAGTTCTGCTATAGGGCGGTCGGGAAGCAGTTAAACATAAATACAAAAAAAAAAAAATCCTCAAAAACAGTTCTGGCAGAGAAAGGGTTACATAAAGCAACCGAAGCAGGCCTGCATGAATGTATCCTAATACAGTAACAAAAATACAAAAGAGAAAATGTAACACAAATACATTTTGTGATCCTAACTCTAAATATATCACACACTGGTAATAAATACATTCTATCTTCTTTAAAACTGTGACAACATTGTTTCAGCAGAGGCCATTTATCAAACTTTAGATCCCCTTTCCAAAGCCAGCAGCAGATCTCCCATGAAATGTCCCCTCTCTGCCCCCCTCCCTGGTGGGCTGCCCAGTAAACAGGAGGGTTGTGAAAGTGACTCTCCCAGTGCAGGAATGCCGGATCCCAGCTCACATCTAATATGCTTACAAAACAACTTCTTTTCCCTTTTCCTTCGGTAAGAACACGAGGCTGTCGTGCCATTTCAAATTCAGGACATAATATCCTGACTCCTATAAAACTTCACGAGCCTGAAAGGCAGCCAATCTGTCAGCTCCGGGGTACTTATATTATACTCTTAAAATGAAAGTAACACATGATCTCCCACAATACGGATGCACAGCGCGCTAAACATAGCAAGACGGGGATTTATTTTTGGGAGAGTTACAGGCATCAAGAACAGGCGGTGAAATTTTTGTTTCCAGGGCCCCTGGAATACCGGGATACCGAATGATCGGGATACCGAATGATCGCTGGACGCACAGTGATTTTTTTTTTTGTGCAATCGATCGGATGTTGTTTGCGGAATAAAAATTGTAATCTGTTCGCTTTCAATGCAAAAAAGTTTATTGGCGAAAATTAACCAAAAAACAGAATTGCTTGTTTCGTACACCTTGTATATGTACTGTTTGAAGTGAACCTTCACTCGTTTGATTGACATTGTCTCTCCCATCTCCTATCCCCTCCCTCTTACACTTTTTTTGTTATTTGCAGCTCAGGGGATCAGGAAGGATTTTTTTTTTCCCTGCAGGAGCAATTTGGATCATGCTTTGCTGGGGGGGGTTTTTTTTTGCCTTCCTCTGGATCAACTGCGGGTATGGGATTATCTTTTTTTTTTTAATGGTTGAACTGAATGGACTTTTGTCTTTTTTCAGCCAGATTAACTATGTAGCTATGTACTTCCTTTATGCTTACCTAGGCGAGGATGACATATCTGCCCACCCACCTCCTGGGATATCTATGTAACACATCCCAGATTGTAAGATCTTGCACATGCCCAGACGCAAAGTGTGTGCGTGGAGAGGGATCTGGCACAGGTTGCAGTCCTGGCGGATGGTGACATGGCAGCAGAGGGGTGGGGTTGAGAACTTCTCCTGCAAGGTAGAAAACTCTGGACTCCATGGACTACTTAGTATGAGTTTTTTTTTTATTTTCATTCAGGTTCAAGTGTTGAAGATATTACATTTAATTCTGGGTAAATAGAGTAATGTTCCTTTTTAATTACAAAAAATAGACCAAGACCTTTATCCATCCTCTAAATCAGCCTTTTTACCCCAGAAGAACTCTTGAAGTCTCAAGGAACCTCTGCTAAGCCCAATTTTTTGAGGGTCACTGGGAAAAGTGCCCCTTATATTGGTGGCGATTGGGAAAAATACTCCTTACAGACCGCTAAAAAAATCACTGGTGTCCTACAGCTGGTGCTGCCAAGTGATATTGGCTCCAGAACCATGCAGGTCACCTCAACTGGAAGGTCAATCAGCCACAGCTCAATGAACCCCTTGGAATCTCTGGAGGAATGCTAGAGTTCTGCTTGAGAATGTCCGCTCTAAATGATAGCAATGTCATGATTGGTTGCAGTGCAGGGCTGTAGGGTGTCCATACAAATAGAGTGGCAGATCGACCAAGCCTTGCACTGCCAGGATTTGTTGAGATCTTCCATATTTAGATTCCTTGATAACAATCTAATCAAGGAATCTAGCTGGATAATCTAATACATTGTTTTGCCATCATGAAGTAACCCTGTCCCAAAAATTAACTTCCCCAAAAATAAATCCCTGCAAGAAAAGATAAATATATTTCTGCTGCCCATGCTTGACCAGCCTGACCATCGATGTAGGGTCCTCCTGGGAGTATCAATCTCTTGATCCTGGATATCAATGAAGTTAGGAATGATTGAGCACAGTGAGATGACACTCCCAGAAATGTTGGTTCTGCAAACACTTTGGGCACCAAGTTCTCTCAGTTAAGTGAGGTTCAGGAGAGTAGTCAGCAGGAGAGGTATCTTTTTTAGGAATTTCATTTTTGTGACATTATCGCAAAAGCAATATTCTAGCCTTTGATGAATGCTGAAGCATTAAAACCACTTGGCAGTGTCTCGAATAGCCCATGAAATAGGATCGACTGGTGAGATCTTTTATCTGACTTCCTAGATTTGCACACCTGTTGAGGCCATTGTGAGGGGCCCCCACTCCCCATGGTAGATCTGTATATATTTTATATTATAGAGAATGTGACAGGATTAGCTGGAAACACACAAAGATGGGCAGGAACATCCAAAAACTCCCAGGACAGCAGCAACAGAGCCAGGAACTAAAGCCTGGTACACTCGATGAGAATATCAGACGAAAGATCATCCTTTTTTTTGCATGCTAGTCTCAAATCAAAAATGAAGAAGTTACTAAAGTTAAGGGCATTTTCGTACGTACGAATACAACTTCGGACCAGGGGCAGACTGACCATTTGGAAACTCGGGCACTGCCCGAGGCCCCGGGGTCAATAGGGGGCCCCATGAGATGCCCTTGGTACCTTTTTCATAGGCTTTTTTGAGTTTGGGCAAGGACACAGGGGCCCCATGATCCCCTATTGCCCGGGGGCCCCATGAGTTGTCAGTCCGCCCCTGCTTTGGACGTAATGTAATGTTTTGTATTGTAATGTATTCTTTCGTTTCTGAGCATGAGTGTTCTTGCTTATCCGATTTTTTTTCAGACAAATAAAATTAAATTAAAATCGAACTATCTGATATCGTATGAAAAAAATGTTCGTGTTTGTCCCTTCGAATAATTTCGGGGGAAAGGTGTGTACTAACGACCAGATTATCTTACGATCTCTTAGAAAGCAATTTTTTTTGTCCAATTTTCTGATCGGTTGTATTATCTTAAGTCACAGAGATCTTCTTGTTGGTGTAACCAAGACATAAAAAGGACAGGGCCTGACTCTGCCTGCCAGCCCTATCTCTGGAAGCTATGCCCAAAATATTAGAGGCCAATGGACCAATCACCAGTATTACCTGCCTGAAACTTTTTTCCCCAATTATTCACCTATCATGCCTTGTTCTACACTATGTTTCTACATGGAGGCAGTCATCTTAGTAGAGGCAGGGCTTTGCTTCCTTACATCACAGCCACCAGCAAGGAGAACATTGAGGAGCAAAGTAATAACATCACCAAATCACCCTCCAAATTTCCTGAGTCTAGAAGTCAGAGGAGTGCCTTAGGGCTCATTCATTCCATCCCTATTGGGTAGCAGTTTCCAGTGCAGTCCCAACGTGTAGACAAGGCAGTTTGCCTTATGTCCTATTAGTTCAGTTCTCACTCCATACAGTTAGAAAGACTCTGAAGGTTTATAAAGTTGTACAACGCATCACAATGCACATGCACATCGCACATCAGTGAGAACACATTATGTGCGCCTTAACATGCTTAGCCTGCTGGTATAAATGGGCCTGAGATTTCACACTGCAGATATACAGGTTGTAGACTTGCAAGTGCCTAGGCACACTCACAAACCAGGAAGTGTACTAAGATTTTGTAGAAGGAATTTCAGACAAAAGGTAGATTGTTCAGGGTAGTGCTCAGGCACAATAAATACTTCTAGACATTCTCTGTAACATAACAAATCTTCACTTTTTTGAGTTTGGTTCCACTTTAGAGCTGTACTCTGTGCGTATGGCCAGCTACATCCCCATTCACATTTGAAGCTCAAAACTCCAAATACTCAACAATGAAAATTCCAGGGACAAACCTGACCCATGTCCTTGAGATCACCATAACCTGGCCACAGTTCAAGCTATGTAGTCATGTCATGAGATCAGAAATATCTCCAGGGACATCTCCATGAACATTTGCAGGGACATCTGAAAGGACATCTCCAGGAACATTCCCAGTGAAATCTCTATGTCCATTTACAGGGACATCTCCAGAAACATTCCCAGGGACATTTCCAGAGGCATTCCCTGGGAAATCTCCAGCAACATTTTCAGGGACATCTCCAGAGACATTCCCATGGACATCTCCAGGAACATTTTCACAGACATCTCCAGATACTTTTTCAGGGACATCTCCCGAAACATTTCCAGGGACATCTGCAGGAACATTTCCAGGCACATTAGGAACATTGCCAGAGACACTCCCATTGACATTTCCAGGGACAACTCCAGGGACATTCCAGACAACATCTCCAGGGACATCTCCAGGAACATTTCCCGAGACCTTCCCAGCAACAGCTTCGGGAACATTTCCTGGGACATTCCTAGGGTTATCTCCAAGAACATTTCCAGTGACATTCCCAGGAACACCTCCTCAAGGAACATCAACAGGAACATTTCCAAGGACATCTTCAGGATCATTTCCAGGGGCATCTACAGGAATATTTCCAGGGACAATTTCAAGGACACTCCAACTGGTTTCTTCAGGAACATTTCCAGACACAGCTCCAGGGACATTCCCATGGACAGATTCAGGAACATCTCCAGGGACATTCTCATGGACTGATCCAGGGACACCTCCAGGGACAATCTTGTGGAAAGATCCAGGGACATCTCTAGGGGCAATACCTGGGACATTCAGAGGTACAGATCTAGGGATACTACCAGAAACCTTTCGAGGTGCATTCCCATGGACAGTTCCCCAGACAGTCCCACAGACATTCCCATGGACAGATCCAAGGACATTCCCATGGACAGATCCAGGAATATCTTCAGGAGCATTCCTGTGTACTGATCCAGGGACACCTCCAGGGACAATCTCGTGGGCAGATACAGGGACATCTCTACGGAAAATACCTGGGACATTCCGAGTTACAGATCAAGGGATACTACCAGAAACCTTTCCAGGTGCATTCCCATGGACAGTTCCCCAGACAGCCCCAGGGACATTCCCATAGACAGATCCAGGTATATTCCCTTGGACAGTTCCCTTGACAGTCCCAGAGACATTCCCATAGACAGATACAAGGATACTCCCATGGACAGTTCCTTTGACAGTTCCAGGGACATTTCTATGGACAGATCTGGTGACATCTTTAGGGACAAAACCTGGACATTCCCATGAACAGATCCAAGGACATCTTCAGGGACATTCCCTGGGACAAATCTAGGGACACCACCAGAAAATAATCAAGAGACATTCTCATAGGCAGTTCTATGGACATCTCCAGAGACATTCCTATACACAGATCCGGGGACATTCCCATGAACAGTTCCTGTGACAGTTCCAAGGACATTTCTATAGACAGATCCAGGGATATTCCAATGGACAGATCCAAAGATATCTCCAGGGACATTACCTGGGACAATCTCAGGTACAAATCTAGGGACACCACCAGAAAATATTTCAGGGACATTCCCATAGGCAGATCCAGGGACATTCCCATGAACAGTTTCTGTGACATTTCCAGGGACATTCCTATAGACAGATCCAGGGACATTCCCATGGACAGATCCAAGGACATCTTCAGGGACATTACCTGGGACATTCTCAGGTACAAATATAAGGACACCACCAGAAAATATTCCAGGGACATTCCCATAGACAGTTCCAGGAACATTCCTACAGACAGGTCCAGGGACATTGCCATGGACAGTTCCCATGATAGTTCCACGGACATACACAGGAACAAATCTGGTGACATCTCTAGGGGCTTCTCATGAAGAGATCCAGGGACATTCTCATGGACAGATCCAGGGACATCTCCAAGGACAGATCAAGGGACATCTCCCAGGACAATACCTGGGACTTTCCCAGGGACAAATCTAGGGACACCACCAAAAAGTATTCCATGGACATTCCCATAGACAGTTCCAGGGACATCTCCAGGACATTCCCACACAGTTCCAGGGACATCTCCAGGGACATCCCCATGGACAGATTCAGGGACATCTCCATGGACAGATCAAGGTACATCTCCAAAGACAATACCTTGGACATTCCCAGTGACAAATATAGGGATACCACCAAAAATTATTCCAGGGACATTCCCATAGACAGTTCTAGGGACATCTCCAGGGACATCCCCATGGACAGATTCAGGGACATCTCCATGGACATCTCCAAAGACAATACCTTAGACATTCCCAGTGACAAATCTAGGGATACCACCAAAAAGGATTCCAGGGACATACCCGTAGACAGTTCTAGGGACATCTCCAGGGACATTCCAAAAGACAGTCCCGGGGACATTCCCATAGACAGTCCCGGGGACATCTCCAGAGACATTCCCATGGCCAGTTCCAGGGACATTCCCATAGACGGTCCTGAGGACATCTCCAGGGACATTCCCACACAGTTCCAGGGACATCCCCATGGACAGATTCAGGGACATCTCCATGGACAGATCAAGGGACATCTCTAAAAACAATACCTTGGACATTCCCAGTGACAAATCTAGGGATACCACCAAAAATGATTCCAGGGACATTCCCGTAGACAGTTCTAGGGACATCTCCAGGGACATTCCCATAGACAGTCCCGGGGACATCTCCAGGGACATTCCCATAGACAGTCCCGGGGACATCTCCAGGGACATTCCCATGGCCAGTTCCAGGGACATTCGCGGGCACAGCCCCCCAGGCCAGTGGCTAGTAGCCCGGTGTTGCGGGTGACACCTTACCCTTGATGCTGACCCCCAGTCCTCCAGCCTCCTGCTTCACCACCCGGACAGTCCTCCGCAGGTTGACGATGGAGTCCGGGACCCCTCCAGCCGGCTCCCCCCCATTCACCGCCTTCTCCTCGGCTGCCCCGCTCTCCGGCTCCGGGGTGAAGCTGAGAGTCTCCTCGCCCAGCAGGAGGAGGATCCGGCTCCAGCGCTCTCCGGGACTCCTGAGCTCCAGCAAGCCGCTCCTGGCAGTCCGGGCTGGGGAAGCCATGGTCGGTGAGCCCGGAGAGGGATTGATGGAAGGAGGGGGGGACAGAAGGGAAACCTCTCCGGGAAGGGAGGGGAGCTGGGAACGCCCATTACCCAAATCCTGCCACCCACACTGGCAGCCTGCTGATCACACCCCTCCCCGGGTCACCCGATCCGCAACTAGTTCTGCTCAGCAGGTGCTGCGCTACGGCACAGGTCAGCCGCACCGGGGTCACCGGGGGGACAGGAAAGAATCGGGCTGATCACGATACAATGTAACCAATCCCATCTGTTACAGAAGAGGGAAACAAGAAGAGGGATCGCTCAGAAATTCACATCCCAACTGTCCCTCTATTGGACCCCAATCTCTCTGCCTTCTCAGTTATCCTTTCCTTTGACCGATGATGCCATGCTAGATTGAAAATAAAAAATCACTATTTAGTGATTTCGCCTACCAATTCTGACATTTCCCTGATATGTGTAAAAAACTACATTTTTTTGCTTAAAAAAAAAATCACTTAGTACCCCCAACATAAGCCATGGAGAATAAAGTGGTGGTTGTTGCAATTTCTTTTACGTACAGCAATTTATCAAACACAAATTTTCAGGAAAAAGGACGCTTTTGTGAATTTTAATGCACACAAACACAATTTAATACCAAATTAAAAAAGAAAAAAAGCGCCACTTACAAAAAACACCAAAGTGTCAGCAGCATATCCCATCCAAAATAAATTTTGGCAGCAATATTCCTAATTAAAAAGGTATGCGCTAATAACAAACTTATACAA